TCTCTCAGGTGACCACCCAGATATTTGTATTTTTGCCTCAGTTTGGTAAATGGCATAGTTTTGAGTTTTTATAATACAATTTTTTTTTCCCCAGCAAAGTCTTTCCCCAACAATGATGCTCACCAAGGCCATGGCACCTGCCACACTCTTCTGCACATAAAATGCCCTCAGTACCCATGGAACTGAGTTGAACCAGGAACAAAACAAGCAGCAGAGGTTGGTTTGTACCAAGACAGTAAGTAGGTACCACAGATAAGACTGAAAGCCTACAATTCAGCAGCGAACATTTTACATTTATTTGAGAAATTATTTGCAACTAGTTCATCAAAAGATGCTGGTTTAAAGCAGTGGCTTTTCAGCCTTGACCACACAATATAACCACATAGAGAGCTTTAAACGACACCGTTGCCTGGGTCCCACTCCAGGGAATCCAATTTAATAGGTCTGTTGTAACTTGGGTTTTGGGAATTTTAAAAGCTCCCCAGGTGATTTTAATGTGCAGCCATGGATATGGACCACTGGTTCAGAGTGAGGGATGCATTAGCTGTGTGTGATTTCCATGTGTGCCCCATGGCAGTTCCTCAGTTTGGGGTCTTGGAAACAGCTTTGCCCTGTGAAAATCAAAGGACTGCTTCAATACACAGTCAGCTGTTTGTCTAAATTGCAGCAGGTGGAAATGTCTTCTCAGCAGATCTATCTTTATGTTGCCTGCTTTTCAGAGTAAGAGGTTGTTTCAGGCACCGTTTGATTTAGCTTGCTTTGAAAATCATAAATAGCCTACAAATACTAAAAATGGACGAAAAGAATTTGCAAACATATGGAGTGCACTATATGTGTTTTCAAATTTCCCCTATAATTAGAAATAAAAAATATATTGCTGGAGCCTTGATTTCTAAACTCAGCCCTCAGCTGTTTCCCTGTTATTTTAAGTTCTTCCAAGACAGTTCAGCTTTCTCTGGAGGGAATTATACCCAATGGGTATAAGTGAAGAGCCCTAGATGGGCATTTACAGAAGTGTCACTCTCCAGAATCTTGAAGGAATAGGGGTGATGTATGAGTACTGTGGTCTATAGAGGTGTCTGGGCTTTGGAGTCAAGTATAGTTGATACTACTGAGTTACAACCTAGTCACTTAGTAACTTCAAGGTTTTGAATTTGATTTGGAACAATTAGGTAAACCTCATCTGCAAGAAAAGGCATAATGATACTGATTGAAAAAATAAGAATAATTCTTCATACTTCCCTATCTATGACCTTTGCAATGAGATTTTATAGCTGCTCCCATAAACAGAATTTGTTTCCCCAAGTCTTGTATCTGGGCTGGCCTTACTTACTCTGGCCAGCAGAATGCAGAGAGTATGACAGTGTGCCAGTTTCAGGGTTAGGCTCAAAAGATCTTGAATGCTTCTGCTTTTTCTTTCAGAATGCTTTCATCTCCATGAGAACAAACCCATGTTAGCCTGCTGGAGGAAGAGATACCATAAGCAGGAGAACCAAGGTACCCCAGTTGACAGCCAGCTCACCCCCAGAAGCAGAGCAAAACACACACACACCACACACACCACACACACCACACACATGGAGCTGAGCTGAGACCAGAAGAATGGCCTAGCTGAGCCCAGCCTAAATTGCTAACCAGCTCAATTATAAGCTAATTAAGTTTTGGGATGGTTTGTTATGCAGCCATAGCTAACTCATACACACACCCATTGCAGATGGGACTCAATGACATGTTGATTACAAGTTACTGGTAAACAGCAGGCTGCCTCTACATTCTGATTTCCTTTTCCCCCTATTAAAGTTGGATCTCTTGGGTTGTACAGAAATGTATATAGATATGTGTGTATGCGACTGGTGCTTCAACTCACACATTTCCCCACTCCAAAGAGGAAACAGACAATCATAGCCTGGCACTCAGGCCCCAAGGCCAAACTGCAAAATAAGAAATTTGCTTTCCCAGATGCAGTGGCTCGTGCCTCTAATCCCAGCACTTTTGGAGGCTGAGGTGGATGATCACTTGAGTCCAGGAGTTCAAGACCAGCCTGGGAAACATAGAGAGACCCAATCTCTACAAAAAATACAAAAATTAGCTGGGTGTGGTGGCACACACCTGTAGTCCCAGATACTCAGGAGGCTAAGGTGGGAAGATCACTTGAACCTGGGAAACAGAGGTCGCAGTGAACTGAGACTGCACTCCATCCTGAGTGATAGAGTGAGACCCCATCTCCAAAACAGTAACAACAGTGACAGTTTGTTTTTAGTCTATCCCTCCCATATCTAAGGTCTGCAGGTCAAAGCTGTGAATAGATCAGAAGGCATGAGATTTCCCTCTCCTGGGACCCCATCGTCCTTTCATCACTTCCATTTTTCACATATTCTCTTCTTCCAATGTGATTAGGGAATGAGGCCAAGATTAAATTTGAAGCTCTCAGAGACCACAAGATTTTTCTTTCCAAGGTTTACCAGCACTTTAGTTTCTAACATCACAAATACTAACTGCAACCCAGTGTGGTGACTCACGCCTGTAATCCCAGCACTCTGGGAGGCCAAAGTGGGTGGACTGCCTTCTCTAGTTTGAGAAGCATGTAGTAATATACTTGATTTTGCCCTGAATCAGTAACGTACCGCCTGCTGGGAGCCGCAGTCTCTTAACCGCTCCAAGCCCGTGACAGAAAAACTAAATGGAAAAATGACTTAGGAGAATTATCGCTATAACCCCCAGAAACACCACATTGTTAAAAGCGGTTCTGAAGGCTATTGAAAAGGGAAATTAATAGTAGTTTCAAAGGAGTCCTATTGTAAGGCAAAAATTGTGCTTTACCGTCCCGCACAAACCTCCCTGATGTTTTGGGAAGGGCGGAGGCAAACCTTTAGTCCTGTTGGCCTGTGTTAATAATGGCCAAGAGGTCCTCAGTGGGTAACAGAGTCCTGTGAAGCAAACAGTGTGAGAAGTCAGAAAAGCAGCTGGGTGTGGACCCCCCAAAGCAGCTTAGGGGGTTACTTAACTGTGCGGCTACATTTCTTGACCACACACTAGAGGAACTGGGCCTTTCCATGCGATGTTTTCCTTTCATAACGGTGGCAGGAAGCGGTCCCTCTGAAGGACCTGACCGAGGTATGTGCCGGCGCCAGGCCGGGGTCCAAGGGGCGCTCCGAGGCGGGGCCCATAGAGGGTTTAGGGCAATTCCGAGGGATGGCGAGGGCGGAGGAAAGGTGGCGTTGAAAAGGCAAGAGCCAGGTTCCCAGCGACTGGATATTTCCACTTGAGGCAGTGAATTTACATTTTCAGACATCCACCAGCTGCCTGCTGCGTGGGGTGTAAGAACGTCTCAGCCGCCCGGCGCCGCCAGCCCTACTCCACCGCCGCCAGGGGCGCACAGCAGCGGGTACGGGGCCGGAGGGAAGGGGCGGGGCGGGGCGGGGGAAGGGGCGGGGCCTGCCCTGCCAGCGAAGGCCGGGAGGACCAGGAAGCCAGGAGCGCATGGCCACGCTGCGCCGGCTTCGGGAGGCGCCGCGGCACTTACTGGTTTGCGAGAAATCCAATTTCGGCAACCACAAGTCGCGCCACCGGCATCTTGTGCAGACGCACTACTATAACTACAGGGTGAGTCCGGTTGTCCTCGGCTTTTCGGGCCGTGCTCAATCGCTGCGTGCGAGAGAGGTTTAGGGAGAGTGCTAGGCTTCGCGGGGCGGGGCCGCCGGCGGTGCGCGGAGGGGCGGGGGCCCTCGCCTGGCTTGCTGGAAGTTGTAGTCTCTTAACTACTGTAGGCCAGTGGTTTGCAGGGCTGCGGGACTACAACTCCCAGGATAGGCAGGGCGTGGGGGCGGCACCCAGTCTGGAGGGAGCTGTGTCCGGGCGTTCTGGCTGCTCACTCGGGTCAACCCGCCTAACGGGGAGTGGGTCCAGGGAGGGATTCGAGGTTTAGGGCCGGGACCGGAGAGTTACGGCGGTGTGACGGCTGCGATGTGTAGCTGCCGGGCAGCCACGTGCACCTCGCTTTTTCCCCAAATCAGGGCGGGTCTCGCGCCTCGTCCCCACCACCGCCTCTCTCCCCAGCTTGGATCCCTCTCCCACCTGCACCACCTGCATACCTGTGGATTTCTCCGGAGCATTCTGCCTAGGCTCGGCCCAGGAAGCTACCCGATTTTCTAAATTGGTTGTGGGAACTAATGTGATACCTAGAAACTTCAAGAAACCAACCTTATAATGGGGGATTAAACATTTTACACTTTAAATGGATCAGCTTAATAACTCAGGTTTGACTGAGCAGCGTCTCAGAGATTTAAGTGGTGACCTGATCAGTCAGGACAGGCTAGTGTTTGAGCCTTGGGACAGTGATGACTTTTACAGTGTGGCAGCATTTGAAGCCTGTCCTGTTTTTAACACCTATTTTGGATGGAAAGCTCATCACAGCAGCCAGGGATGTATACCTTAACTCGCCTGTTGCACTTTTCTGTCTCGAAATTGGAAACATACAGGAGCACCATTGCTTGCACACAGCTTCTTAGTAATTGGATATCCATAAATTAATTCCTTATGCCCCGACAGACAGTTCATTTCCGTCCAGGATAACACCAGGGTAAACAAATCAAGGGATATTCAATTATACTATATTTCCTTGAAAATGGTGAAAGGAATAGGACATAAAATATACACTATTGCTAATTTGCAAAAGATAAAATGCAAGCAAGAGTTTTCCATTAAAAGTATTCTATTCAGTCCCCTTCCTGTACTGTACATTTGAATGCAGAAATGAAAAACTTGAGTAGTCAGATTTCTCTTTGCCTGAGATAGGTAAGTTAACGTAAGAGTTTTGTTGCCTGTGTTTTTATGTTCCAGTGAAACTCGTGGAGAAATAACAACTTTCATGATCTTATTTCATTCCTAAAAACCTGGGTGTTCATCTTCATGGAAGTGAGACCTTGTTTGTATTACACATTCCAATAGGTTTCATTTCTCATTCCCGAATGTGGGATACTATCGGAAGAACTGAAAAATCTGGTCATGCAAACTGGACCCTATTACTTTGTGAAGAATTTACCTCTTCATGAATTAATTACACCCGAATTCATCAGTACCTTTATAAAGAAAGGTAAGAAAAACCTGAAATGGCTTTAAACAAGGCAAGATGAGGAAGTGTAGGTAGACCACATCACAATGCTGGGGCTGTTATTTTGTTTTGAACAGGGCCTGTGGGATAGTCTGTGTGGTCAGGTGCACACATGCACTACCCCCCCGCTCCCTGTTCTCATCCTGTTCTTTCTTGTGCCCTCTTTAGGTGGTGGTTTCTGATTGCAATTGCCCACAAGTGTTGGATGGGGACGTTGTAACATGAGGGTATCCGTCCCCTTAAAATGAGGATTGATGGAGAGGAGAGACTCGCAGTCTGTGTTCAGACGCACTGCTTTCGAGGAAGTGGCTGCAGAGACCCTGTGCTGTGAGCAGCCCCACAGCAGCTGCCTCACAGGGTTGGTCTCCAGATGCAGCCACAGCTGCTGTTCACAGAGCAGAGTGCTCGTTGGGGTCCAGTGTCCTCTGCTTAGATTTTGTAGCCATAACCCCTCTCTGCGCACCCCGTTTCCACCCACATCTGCTGGGTTGGACTGGTTTGTTTCAGTTGTTTCCTGGGAGCCGTTTGTTTGAAACTATTTCAGAGGGTATTTAGGGATTCCACCCACAGTACATGAGTCACCTGTACAGTGGCCACATGCTTATCTTGTGGTAGCCCCCACATGTGTCCTCTCCAGTGAAGATACGAAGAATTCTAGTTACCAGTAGCTCCTCTCATTCTGACACTGCTGGGGCTACTTACAAGCTGGGCGTCTTGTCTGGTCTCATCACCATTATTCCTTTCATCTATTTTGAGGTCTGATACCACTCTGTCAATTACGTGGACACTGGCTGTAGCAGGCGCTGTTAAATATCTTACCAAATTTAACCCTTGCAACAATGTTATGAAGCAGGCCTATGATCCTCATTTAACAGGTGAGGAAACTGAGGCTTGGAGAGGTTGAGTAGCTTTTGAATCTTAACCCGGAACTCTGCCTCTAAGATGTGTATGTTTATCTAGAATTCTACTTTGTACCCCTCTCCATGCATCCCCAAAAGTCACATTCCATTCTGAGTCAATTTTTTGCTTGATGATAGTAAACTTGCACAAATAGGCCCTTGGTCGGGGAGTGAACTAGCTGGAGCTTGGTCTTCTGCATGCTCCAGCTTACCTTTGGCAGATGTTTGGTTTATTGAATAGACTGGAGCAGTGGTAGAAACTGACCTTTAATTACCTGGAAGACAGGTTATCTTGTGAAAATAATCCACTAACATCTTGCAGGTGTAATTTCTTCTTTGAAATTTTTCCTCTGGACTTTCTCTTACAGGTTCTTGCTATGCACTAACATACAATACAAATATTGATGAAGATAATACAGTTGCCCTGCTACCAAATGGTAACGCTTATTTTTCATCTTTCTTTAATTGTTAAAAATAAATGCCACTGTAAAAAAAAAAAAAAAAAAAAAAAGCCAGGCACGGTGGCTTACGCCTATAATCCCTGCACTTTGGGATGCCAAAGCAGATGGATCACCTGAGGTCAGGAGTTCAAGACCTGCTTGGCCAACATGGTGAAACCCTGCCTCTACTAAAAACACAAAAATTAGCCAGCGTGGTGGCACACGCCTGTAGTCCCAGCTTGGGAGGCTGAGGCAGGATAATCACTTGAACCTGGGAGGCGGAGGGTGCAGTGAGCCAAGATCGTGCCACTGTACTCCAGCCTGGGTGACAGAGTGAGACTCTGTCTAAAAAAAAAAAAGAAGATATTCAAAAGAATGAGTATACCATGACTTATTTATTTCATCTTTAGTAGAAATTCATATTATTTCTAATTTCATTATTATGAATAATATCCTTGGATGTATAATGTATAAATAATATCTGTGTTATAAGACATGTATACATATAAATATTCTTGTGATATAAATAAGATCCTTGTATGCAGTTTGGTACATCAATATCTAACTGCTCAATTTGCTTTGCTTTCTTTTAGTCAGACAACGTAAGTTCTATTTTTGGTATCTCTTATGGGAGTTATTATTTGATTTGTAGGGAAATTAATTTTGTCACTGGATAAAGACACTTACGAAGAAACTGGACTTCAGGGCCATCCGTCTCAGTTTTCTGGCAGAAAAATCATGAAATTTAGTAAGTATCATGTGTGCTCCATCTGTTTCTAAGAAGTCTGTAATCTTGTGGCAATTTAAATTTAAATGTTTGAATTGCCTCTAATCTCTTTGTTCAGAAAAATGTGGCTTTTTAAAAAAAAATCTACCAAACTTCTGACTTGAGCTTCATAGAGGATAGGATGATGCTTTTAAGTTCATTTCTTTTCAGCTGTAGATGCGTTTGATAAAGATCGTAGACTTGGACTGGTCAATTAAATATATATGTTTTGGGTTAAACATTCAAAGTAATTTGGGAAGCCTAGGCGGGCGGATCATGAGGGCAAGAGATTGAGACCATCCTGGCCAACATGGAGAAACCCTGTCTCTGCTAAAAATACAAAAATTAGCCGGGCGTCGTGGCGGGCGCTTGTACTCCCAGCTACTCGGGAGGCTGAGTCAGGAGAATTGCTTGAACCCAGGAGGAGGAGGTTGCAGTGAGCCAAGATCACAATCACTGCACTTCAGCCTGGTGACAGAGTGAGACTCCATCTCAAAAAAAAAAAAAATTCAAAGTACTGAACCCAAGATAGGAGTCTACTTATTATAATGAAGAATTTCCTTTGGCTTCCCCAGGTCTTTATGATTACTAGTAGAAATTCACCCATGAGTGAAGAGGTCTTTTGCTGACAGTGTCTGGCTCGAACATCAATAGCTAAGGCTGCCACATCCATTAGTAGATTAAACCTGACCTCTCAAGGTCCTCTGCCCTTGGTCTTTGACCTAGGAAATATATACATTTAAAATGTCTGTTTCTGTTAGCTCTCAAGGTTGGAAGTGCCACCAAAGGGATCTTTTTTATGTGGCAAACCAAAGGGAGTGGAAGAAGAATACAATAATTTTACTATCCATAAAATTTCCCAAAATTCTGGTTTTTAAAAATACAACACTTTTTCCATAGTATAAGCTGTATGTATATGAATGAAATATATATTCTTTTTTTCATTTTTAAAGTTGTTTCCATTGATTTGATGGAATTATCCTTAAACTTGGATTCTAAGAAGTATGAAAGAATATCTTGGTCCTTCAAAGAAAAGAAACCATTGAAATTTGATTTTCTTTTGGCTTGGCATAATACAGGTATGAAGAAACAATTATGTAATGATACAGTGATTTTAAAATTAATTGTTAAGTAAAGAGGAGTAATGGAGGATTGAATGGTGATTCACTCTTATAGTCAAGGAATATTGTATATATATATAAAAATAGTATTAAGGAAATTAGCCCTTCTGACATCTCTGCAAACCATTGTTCAGGATTGTCTAGGCATGCAGGCCTTTCTGCCTGATTCTTTTTGGGTTATACATAAATCCAGAGATCTTGAGAGTGGCTTTAGAGCAGCTAAATTTTATCTATTTCTCCCCTTTCCTCTCTCCAGCTTACCTTGAACAGTCTCGACTATAATATTTTTAAGTAGCACCAATTATAGTTATATACACAATCTGCTTATTTATTATCACAGGGCACTACCTCAGACCTACCATTAAATGTCAGATTAATGTGTAATAACTTTTAATTGATTAGGACACTAAATTTAGCTCGAAGTTTGCTATTCACCACACAGCGTCACCTGCCGAAAACGGCCATGTATGTTGCTGCTTTTAGAAGTGTATCTTTGGCCAAGATCATAATGGATCAAGTCATCAGGAATTAGGGTATAGTACTCTCTTTTGGAGGATAGGAAGCATGGTGGTCTGTTTTAGAAACAGACCCGTCTTTCTGCTCCTCGTGGGAGGTGTCTGGTCACTGGGTGCTCCAAGTTGCTCCCATGAGCCCTAGGTGTGGCCTTCGGTGCCTCTCCTATGGTAGATAGAAAAGAGAGCAGAAAGGCTCATTGAAGTTTCCGTTGCGTAAAGTCTTCTATGCGGATCATCCAGACATTGGGTTCCGAATAGCTCCCTGTTCCTAAAGCTCCTGCTTTAAGGATTTGTCAGGAACTGTGAAAGGTCTGAGATTTCCTCAGACTTGCAGGCTAACAAGATAGCCTGCCACGGTCTCAGGGATGCTGGCAGAAGACACACAAGCCCTGGGTCAGAGACACAGGACTTAATTCCTCAGAGGAATAGCCGTAGCCAGAATATATCAGTCAGGGTTCTCCAGAGAGAAGGGACCAATTGGATGGATGGATGGATGATTTATGGATGGATGGGTGGATGGATGGATGATTTATGGATGGATGGGTGGATGGATGGATGGATGGATGGATGGATGGATGATGGATGGATGGATGGATGGATAGATTGGATGGATGGATTGGATGGATGGGTGGATGGGTGGATGGGTGGGTGGGTGGGTGGGTGGGTGGGTGGGTGGATGGGTGGATGGATGATGGATGGATGGATGGATAGATTGGATGGATGGATTGGATGGATGGGTGGATGGGTGGATGGGTAGGTGGGTGGGTGGGTGGATGGATGGATGGGTGGATGGATGATGGATGGATGGATGGATGATGGATGGATGGATGGATGATGGATATTTATTAGGGGAATTGATCATGCAACTGCGGAGGCTGAGGAGTTCCATGACAGGCTGTCTGCAAGTGGGAGACCCAGGGATACTGGTAGCATGGCTCAGCTCAAATATGAAGGCCTGAGAATCAGGAAAGAAGATGGTGTAATTCTCAGGCCAAGGCCAAAGCCTGACAACCTGTGGATCTGCTGTTGCAAGCCCCAGAGTCCAAAGGCTAGAGAACCTAAAGTTCTGCTGTCCAAGGGCAGGGGAAGAAGGGAGTCCCAGCTGCAAGGGACAGCGCATTCACTTTTCCTCTGCCTTTTTGTTCTGTCTGATGCCCCAGCCGGGTAGATGGTGCGCCCACAGTGAGGGCAGATCTTCCCACTCACATGCCAGTCTCCCCCAGAAACACCCTCACAGACACACCTAGAAATAATGCTTTACCAGCCATCTAGATAACCCTTCATCCAGTCAGGTTGACACCTAAAATTAACCATCACACCGAATATCACCGTTTGCACCAGTTCACCAAGTCCCATTTGCCAGAGTGACACCAAGCGATGCTGGCACATGCAGTAGGTTGCATTACAGGAGGGGAACCTGGAGTTTAAGAACTCCAGTCCTTTGTAAGGGGCAGTAAGCCTGCTGATCTCTGCCTGGAGAGAGGGAGGGTGACATTATTTCTATTATACTGGACAGTAAACAAGCCTGCCCTTTGCTGTGGAGGGAGTACCATCTCTGTCTTCCAAGGCCATTGGCTACACAAACATCCCTGAAAAGATACACTGGATTTTACTGGGTTTTCAGAGTCAAGTTTGGATGAGGTTCCATCACCATTCAGTTTCTCTTATTTTTCTTTAATAGAGATTGTGCAGATAAGCTGCTTCTCTCTGGAGTTCACTAATGTTATTCATACATCAGGAATGCTTTTGGTTTTAAGTGTGAAGTTGAAATTTTTTTATTAGCACACACGGTGAAACTAGTTTGGGTCTGATCAGAAACTATTGTGCTTTTCCAGGAAAAGTGTGAAAAAAGATGAACATTTACAGAACTTGGGCAAAAGGAGCTGAAAGCAGCTTTAAATGATTTTAATTTGAATGCAGCGCTGCACAGCTTCCATCTTACTTAATCTTGCCACTCAAATGGGAATGGATGGGTTCCGGGATTCACTAAACTTGCTTACGATGGTCAAATGGATTCAAATGGCTTTGTGTGGTGTGTTTTTAAGGTTCGGAAGAATCAACAATGATGTCATATTTTTCCAAGTACCAAATTCAGGAGCATCAGCCAAAAGTAGTGCTGAGTACAGTGAGAGATCTCCAGTGCCCGGTGCTGCAGAGCAGTGAGCTCGAGGGAGCGCCGGAGGTGTCCTGCCAGGCTCTGGAGCTCTTCGACTGGCTTGGCGCCGTCTTCAGTAATGTCAGCCTGTGGGTATCTGGACTGCCTGTGTCTTCTAGGGCTCTGGCCTGCTGCTTGTTTTTAATAGGAGTTTAATACTTTGGAAGGGATCATGTGATGGATATCAATGTGTTATCTCTCTCTTTTTTTTTTGGTGACAGAAATAATGAGCCTAATAATTTCATATCAACCTATGGCTGTCCTCAGCCAAGCACGGTGGTGGCAAAAGCTTATTTGTGTACAATCACTGGCTTCATACTTCCAGAGAAGATCTGTCTCCTATTGGAACATCTCTGGTGAGAACTCTTTGCCTTTTATATCGCTCATTGTTGCTTTATAGAACAGTATGTAAAATAGTGCAGATTTTTCATTTTGGGAGGTAGTATATAAATAAAATGTACATTGAAAGGAAACTCAAATCCCCTATTGCAAAGACTGTACATTGAGTATAATCCTATTTAGTAAGCATATCTTCTGAATCTTCCCTTTTAAAATGTCAGATTTAAGTCTTGAAGGTTTTCCTTTTTAAGCCCAGCATCCCTTTTCACATTTATTGGTTTAGTACTTTGATTTTCTTCAACCGGAAGGCTGGATATTAAAACTCTGGTGAATTATCCTGCAACGTTTCAGTTAACTGAGACTCTGAGAACGGTACTCTTAATGGGAGGGAAACTACCCTTAAACACCTGTGGAGTTTTTTGTTTTGGGTTCTTTTCCTCTTAAAGACCTCCCAGAATGAGGGTGGGAACAGCTGAGGTTTGTTTTTTGTGTTGTATATTAGTTAACCCTTATGGAATTCACAGTGTGACATCAGGAATTGATCACACACTTCTTGATTTTCATAAATTAAAGCTAAGATCTAAGCTTTATTAGAGTATCAGAAATACTACTTATCCTGAATAAATTTTTTAAAAATGCAGACATTCCTAACTCTCCCTGTTTAACAATTACCTTTTTTTCAGTCACTACTTTGATGAACTGAAGTTAGCTCCATGGGTTACATTGTCCGTTCAAGGCTTTGCAGACAGCCCTGTTTCTTGGGGAAAAAGTGAACATGGTTTTTGGAAAGGAGGAGAACATTTATATAACTTTGTGATTTTTAATAATCAAGACTATTGGCTTCAGATGGCTGTTGGGGCGAATGATCACTGTCCACCATAAACATTACAAAATTAAAAATCATGTTTGCCTACGTTTATGCTTGCTTTCAGATTTCTTAATGGTAAAAGGTCTGTGTGTCCACTCAGGCTTGTGTGATGGTTTCTCAGATTAGCATTTGCTGGCATCCTGCGCTGCACCTGGGACCCATCTGTGATGGCGGCAGGGCCTGCTGTCCAATGAATAGCTCATAGTTGATTTCTCTCTGTCAACATAAGCACAAGGTCGTGGTTACTACGTGGTAGACTGGCCCAGGATGTCCAGGGACCAGGGGGTATTGGTCCCCATCTCACCCCATTGGGTGAGATATATTTTGCTCATTACAACTTTTTCAGATAATAAAAAGAAATCTCATCCTTACCAGGGCCAGTCGCTGTTGTAAGTGCTGTTTATGTGTTACCATGTTAGATTCTCACACCAACCCTTTGAGGAAACTGAGGCACAGTGTGTAAATACACTACCGAAGTTACAGTGCTAGTGGACCTGAGACTTCATCTCAGGCCAGCCTAGTTCCTAAGTGTGCTCTCACGCTAATGCCTCTGGATCAGAGAGGGATCAGTGGATACTGTCAATTGTTACAGAACAGGTTGAAAGAATTTTATTTCCAGCAGTAAGGCTGATAAGGACCAGTTGAAAACAACTAAAACTTTAGAATACATATGAAGAAATATTTTTTTAATGTAAAAAATAAGAACTGCAAAATAAGAGTTCTCAAAGGCAAAAAGAATTTTGTGTGTGTGTGTGTGTGTCAATGGAAGCAGAAACCCAAAGAAGTAAGTGATGTACTGATGCCACTTTTCAGCCTTAGTGCATCTGTCAAATGTCAAATTGAATTTTTCTTCTCATAGCCTGGGGTGGGAAGAGGCTGCAGAACCGCACACAAAGCTCAGGGCCTGCCCAAGGGAGGAAAACTAAGAGGAAACCTCATAAAGTGAGACCCCAAAAGGATAGATGTAATGTAGGGGTGAACTAGGAATAAATCCATCTGCTTCACCCATCCCCCCAACCCCTGGGAACAGCAAGGAAGATTTCTGTCCTGGGGGAAGACATCTTACTTGAGAGCCTATATACAACCACAGGCAGTTTTTAGGGTGGTTTGTTTGCTCAACCTGGGTAGTCTTAAACAATCTCAAGCTGCCCAGCACTTTGGGAGGCCAAGACGGGTGGATCACGAGGTCAGGAGATCGAGACCATCCTGGCTAACACGGTGAAACCCCGTCTCTACTAAAAAATACAAAAAACTAGCCAGGCGAGGTGGCGGGCGCCTGTACTCCCAGCTACTCAGGAGGCTGAGGCAGGAGAATGGCGTGAACCTGGGAGGCGGAGCTTGCAGTGATCTGAGATCCGGCCACTGCACTCCAGCCTGGGCGAGAGAGTGAGACTCCGTCTCAAAAAAAAAAAAAAAAAAACTCAAGCTGGAAATTTCCAGTGATAACAGGATTTTAGTGCCTTACTGGTAACTGGCAGAAGCAAAACAGATTGTCTTTGGAGAAACTCGGAGAATTTCAAGGAATATAAGTTCATAGAAAAAAAATCACAAACGTAAAATAGGCAAGAACTGGCAGAAACAAGGGGCAGAAGAAGGCCACTAAGTCTTAGAAAGACTTAAGATGTTAAGTTAGCAAGCACATCCATAAAGTGTGCTTTATACTTACAGAAATAAGGGGGGTTAAATGGCATGAGCATAAAAACAATGAAGCAGATTGTAAAAAGTGCCAAACAAATCTAGGAATGAAAAATATAATTGAAATTGCAAGTTCCACTGGTTGGTTTAACAGCAGACTAGATGCCACTGAAAATAGAATGATAGATATGAAGAAATTAAGATCTTTTCAAATTTGCAAAAGCTGAAAGACTGTCATCCATAGGTCTGCACTACAAGAAAAGTTAAAGGATGTCCTTTGGGCATAAGGAAAATGCCTGCCTTCTGAAGGAAATGAAGAACACTGAAAATAGTAAGAACATGGATAAATGTAGGATTTATTATTTAAACCTCTTTAAAAGACAGTTGTTTAAATGAAAGTCATAGTGTGGGATTTATATGTGTAAAAGTAGAATGGATGACCACAATAGCTTAAAAAGACTAGGAGAGGAGAATCATGCTATTGTAAAGTTCTTATGCACAAAGTGACATGCTACCATTTGAAGATAGAGTGCGATAAGTTACAGATGTGTGCTAAAGCAGCTGCTAAAATGACATACCAAAAAATTATACCTATTAAACTATCAAAAGATAAAATGGAATTATTTTTAAAACTTGATTCATCAAAAAGACAGAAAAAGAGGTAAAAGGGAATAAAGACCAGATAGGATGAATAGAAGACAAATAGCAAGATGAGAGAGTCAACCTAACTGTATCAAAAATCACATTAAATGTGAATAGTGTAAACACCCCAATTAAAAGGCATAGATTTTCAGACTGGATTGAAAACACATGACCCAATTATATTCTGTCTACAAGAAATATACTTTAAATAGAAAGATACAAATACTTAAAGGATGGGAAAAAAGATATGCTAACACTAGTTACATGAAAATTGAAGTGGCTATATTAATCAAAATAGAGCAAAGAGTAATTCCCAGCATATTAGTCCATTCTCATACTGCCATAAAGAAATATCTGAGAGTGGGTAGCTTATAAACAAAAGAGGTTTAATTGGCTCATATTTCTTTTTTTCTTTCTTTTTTTTTTGAGATAGAACCTCCCTCTGTTGCCCAGGATGGACTGCAGTGACACAATCTCGGCTCACTGCAACCTCCACCTCCTGGGTTCAGGTGATTCTGCTGCCTCAGCCTCTTGAGTAGCTGGGATTACAGACATGTACCACCACGCCTGGCTAGTTTTTTTGTTTGTTCAATTTTTTTTTTTAGTAGAGACGGGGTTTCACCATATTGGCCAGGCTGGTCTCGAACTCCTGACCTTGTGATCCACCCACCTCAGCGTCCCAAAGTGCTGTGATTACAAGCATGGGCCGCCGCACCCGGCCTAATTGGCTCACATTTCTGCAGGCTGTGCAGGAAGCACGGTGGGCCTCCACTTGACTTCTGGGGAGGCCTCAGGAAAACTCAGTCATGGCGGAAAGTGAAAGAGAAACATGGCCATAGAAGGAGGGAGGGGTCAGGAAAGTACCACATACTTTTAAACAACCAGATCTTGTCAGAATTCTATCATGAGAAGAGCACTAAATGGGGGAATCCACCCCCATGATCCAGTCACCTCCCACCAGGCCCCACCTCCAACACTGGGGATTACAATTTGACATGAGATTTAGGCAGGGACACAGACCCAAGCCATATCACCCAGGATCATAGGAAGTTATTTAATACTTATAACACACACCTCATAACAAAGCTTCAAAACACATGAAGCAAGAACAAGTAGAACTTCAAGGAGACATAGATCAATCCACTATTATCAGACGTTAATACCCAACCCTCAATAATTGACAGAACAAGTAGGCAGGAAATCAACAAGAATAAAGTAGACTTCAACAATTCTATTAATCTACTTGACCCGACTGATATTTTTAGAACATTGTATCTTACAACAGCAGAAATTTTTTCTTGAGAAAATTGAGAAACAACTCAATTTTGTTTCTGAGAAATAACTTGAGAAAAATTTTTAGTTGTTTGAGTTAAAATAATAGTATCAGATTTATAATATATGTAAAAGGAAAAGTTTTTGTAAAAAGGAATGTAAAATGTAGAAGGATTAAGTTTTTCTCAAGTACATATGGAACGTTTATAGAGATGGACTACATTATAGACCATTTAAAAAGTCTCAAATTCAAAAGATTTGTCACTTGAAGTATATTGTCTGGCCATGGTGGAATTAAATTAGAAATCAACAGCAGAAACTAGAAAAGAGAAAAACCTAAAGTAAGCAGAAGGAAAGGAATAATAAAGGTCAAAGTGGGACTTAATGAAATTTTTAAAATAGAGAAAAATTAATGAATCAAAATTTGGGGAGTTTGGGGGGAAATATTTTTAAATTGAGAAATCTCCAGCCAGGTAGATATATCAGGGAAAAAAGAAACAAGACACAAGTTACCAATATAAGCAATGAGACAGGTGACATCACTGAAGAGCCTACAGATAGAAAAGGATAGTGAGGAAATATTAGGAACACCTTTATAGCAATAAATTCAACATGGATTAAATTGACACATCCTTTGAAAGGCGCAGATTACCAAAGCTCACCCAAGAAGAAATAGATTACCTGAATAGCTCTATGTCTGTTCAAGAAGTTGAAATTACAGTTTAAAAACCTGTAACGAAAATCTCACCTGTATTCCCAGCATGTTGGGAAGTTGAGATGGGAGGATCACTTGAAGCCAGGAGTTCAAGGACAGGCTGGACAACATAGTGAGATTCTGAAGAAAAAAGAAAAAAACTGAAAAACTAAAAAAATTAGCCAGGCATGGTAGCACATGCCTGTAGTCCTAGCTACTTGAGAGGCTGAGGCAGGATGATTGCTTGAGCCTAGGAATTGAAGGCTGCAGTGATCTATGATCACACCACTACACTCCAGCCTCGCTGACAAATCCAGGCCCTGACTCAAGAAAGGGAGAGAAGGAGAGAGAGAGAGGAAGAAATACTTTCTACCTCATTATCTGAGGCCAGAATTATCCTAGTACCAAAATTATCCTAGGACCCTGGTCAAACAACATGCTACAAAGGAAAGAAAACTACAGACCAACATTTCTCATGAGCGTAGGGTAAAATTCTAAGCCAATTTATCAAATTGAATCCTACAAGATAAGAAACAGGTAACACAGCATGATCAAGAGGGAATATCCAAGGAGTATAGGGTTGACTTAACATTTGAAAAATCAATCAATATAATTCATCATACAAACAAACTCAAAAAGAATAATCATATAATCAATACAGAAAGGCATTTGACAAAATCCAGCTTTTGCAAAATTCCATTGCAAAATTCAATGGACTCTACAAATGAGCTACTAGAACAAATAAGTGAGTCTGTCAAGGTTACAGGATAAAAAGTAGTGTACAAAAATCAGTTGTATATGGTAGC